GGAACTGACCGTTTTCACGAGCTGAACTAAAGTGTTTGCGCATGTATATTTGTATTTATATCAAAACCCTGTGCCTATTATTTGTATTTGTATGACAGGCTTTTGTAATTGATCAACTGTTTTAAGGGGCAAGCATTCCGAATAATTGTATATTATTTCTATTAAGTTGGGATGTTGTGATACGATTGTGTTGGCGTATTGGGCCACAATCGAGTGTTGTTTATGTAGTGATTAAGGGGGATTAGTGGTGTGTCTGAAGCCAAGTATAATAGTATTGAGTTAGAATATTGTAGAAATTGACGCGGTTTTGTCGTGTTTCTGAAGCCACTGTTTAATTAATGAATTGGAGTTGGTTGTTGTAAAACACAGCTATAGTTTGGTGATAATATATTTATGGGATGTTCGGAATGCTTGGCCTTAGTTTGTAACGAATGCCGGTGATATTATCTGCATGTTGTATTTGACCAATATTGAAATTATAGTAATTATAATTATAATAAGTAAGTTGTATGTATCGTATATTGTACAATCCCGTAATATCTCGTGCGCCCAGAACAAATAAATTAATATTTTGATAGTGATTCAATCTTGTTTGTAAATCCTTGTCATTTTCCTGGTGTTGGGAGGTAACACACGTCGTTTCCTATCATCGGATCGTGACACTAACCTATTTCGATTATCTAGTCTAACTATTGTCTTAAATTGATTTGACTATGTGTAGATGTTTAAAGTATATTCATATATACATATTAACACACAGCAATTTCCTATTTTTTTTATTTGTCAACGACATCGTGTTTCATTTCACCTCTTTATTAAGATTGTGCAGACTTCTCAAAATGGTGTCAACGCTAACCGCAACATGTGGTTACGGAGAGGCTTGGGAAACCTAGATTAAGCTAATGATGGCAGTGCTCACAATGGTGCCGACCACCACGTAGTCGTAACAACGCTAATGCCTGTGAGATATTCTAACTGTGTTGCACCACCTACCACATTTCACATTGGCGTTCGCATTACAGTTTAAGCCAGCGCGTGTTCACAGCTTTCTGCTTGCAAACAGTTACCATGAAAGCATCAACAGCGCGAACTAGTCGTGACAAGGTTACTAATCACATTATTCGCCCAACAAAAACATTCACATCGAGTGCAAACATGCACCACAATGAACGAGCGCTCATTGTATCGTGTAAATTGTTCATTAAAGCGTCCACAAAATTTGTTTTTGTATTTTCTGTGCTTGTAGTTTTAGATTTAGTATATTTCATTTTGATGTTAGTATGAACAGTCAGTCATTTTTTGAAACTTCATACTATTTTAATGTTTAGTCAAATATTTTATAAACTATTTTAAATTACGTTCGCCCTGTAGCTGGTATCGAACCATCGACAACGGTACCAATTAGCCAATTATGATACCCACTCGATCGTATTGCCTATCCCCACAACTTTCAGTTTGACAGAGTTTACCCTTGCCCTATCACGAGACCATGATAACATGTGATAACGAGACTGGCTTCAGATCAACCATACAAGCAAAGTGCACAGGCATACGTTATATTACAGGGTCTATACTGAATGCAAATATCTCATGGAAGTAATTTACAAGGGGTTTGTTAGTGCTAGTGATAGCATACTGTAATAATCTATGTAGGATTGAATAATTTTAAAATCAGTCGCGAGTTCCAGGGTCCCAGTCATTGTGAGGGAATACTCAGAGTATTTTGTGCGCTCTAAACTGAAATCGCATTCAAATTTCTTCGTTAATCGTCTACCGGGCTTGTCAATTTAAATTCTGGTGTCATTCATTTCAGTAGGTAAATGACAACGGTGAAAAGACACTACGTACCATGTTGTTTTCTTACAGACAGCAACCCGATACGATATATTCATGGAAATATTGGAGTTATTTGCCAGCCGTAAATTGTCCTCGAATCTAAGAAGGTTTGCTTTATGCAATAGTACGAACATTATTATGAGCAAGATTTATAAATAAGATAGTGGTTGAGTCATAGTACGTCATTCACCAAAATACTACTGTAAATTATACATATATAGAACAAAACCTTCGTACTCGAACACTCGTGGGATATAAAGTCCGACCCAAAATGACATGTCGGGAACGCATTCGGAGATACTTTATCGCGGGAGTCAAAGTACGAAGGCTTTATGCGACCTATACGCCACCGATATTAATTTTGGAAAAATATTAGTACTTCCGAAGTCAATCAGTGAGTGCTGTTAATTACTTTGCTCAAAATGCGTAACGAGATGTAGGAAAATGCTTATATTTTCAAATATAATATGCTAGAACTGTCCGAGAACAACACGATGCGTGAATGGCGTCTTCACTACTTCATTCATCTCTCTGCCTTGATTCCAATCTGGGTTAGTAACTGTGTCGCCTTATCTGAGTATTGTCCACTTCATCTGCATAATGCTTCATCCACGCTTTCGATGGTGGCTGGCGACCATACATTTTTCCTGATTTCGACCGATAAGTTTATTTTTTATAACATTTAGTTGATTATTAATTCTGTTCAACTATTATACATAAATATAGCTAATTTGAATAAATTTTAATTTTTAAGATTAAGTCGTAGTTTTCTTTAAAAAAACAATAAACATATTTTCAATATTGCGCAAAGCTTTAATGTTTGGGAGATTACAAAACAAATTTGCAGAGATAGATAATTTATTGTTTCGGGCGACCCTAACACATACAATGCAAACGTATTTACATCGACAAAATAAATAAAATAATACCGTTTTCAAGCTGAGCAACAATTTGATTGGTCGGATTCAGCTGCAAACACTTTAAAATGAAACTATTGTGACTCACTGTTACACGTGATTTTCTAGTGAACCCGGACAATTTCCGAAAGAAAACAACGAGCTTAACCCCGAAAAATTTTAAACAAAGGAACTGACTGAAACTGAAAATTGAGACGAGGCAAATCAGTAATAGTTAAAATACGTCTACGAGAAAGCTAAGGGTATTCAACAAGCTGTTAGCGTCAAAGATGCCGTACTTTATTGCGGATTGTGCGTAGAAGCTCATTTTGAATAGAAAGACCAATGACCTATAGAAATCGTACATGATTCATGTACGTATCTGAATAATCTACATGTTGCTTTCAATCACAATCCACCTGCTTAGCTCATTCAGTTATCATGCATTCGCATCACCGGCACAGTTCATCGATCTTAAAATCGTTGGTTTGAATCCAGGGTGTCGCTGCTTAAGAAATACACATTTTCAAAATAGAGTGCAGAACGTTGTGATTTTTTCTTTAGTCACAAGAGAACAATCTATTTCTGAATAAAAACGGTACTTTCCCAGTAAACGGGAATTGTTGAGAGAAGGAAAACTTTTGAACGGGTAAAATTTTGAACTGAGAAAAAAAACTTTCCTAGTAAATGATGAACAAAAACCATTCACTATGATCCAACGTTACTTATATATATGAAAGATATATACGAGCAAATGTGTAATATAACTATTCCTAAAGTCGTGCAATGAAACGATTTATAAATTGTACAGAACAACAAGTGCAATTTTAACGAAACTATTTGTTAGAATAATGGTGCAGGTGACTAAACTTAGAATAATTACGAGTTTAGATCAGTGTCTAATAACGTATTCATATCTTCCACAATGATAAAACCATTGTTTACATTATCAATTGTGTCCCTGAACCAATTTCGAATAAATAAGATTGTAATTCGAGATCACAAAAGTATTCAAATCTCATTCAGGCAATACTGACAACACAAATTATTATACGACTTCTTCTGGTTGCCGTTGTAATAACTGATCGCCAGTTGGTTAATCATCTGGTTCGATGTAATTGCAGAACCCGCAAACAAGTTAAGCAGTAGATTAACATACTATTTGTTTTTATTCATGTGTGAAAAGGGTACAAAATTAGAAATAAAATCTACATTATCAAAATATAATCGTTCTGTAAAATTATTTGTATTAAAAAACAGCAGTTTTTGTTATACTGAAGATACCCAACTTATACAAAAGAAACACAGATCATATACCTACAAACTATATATTTACCTATTATTTTAATTATTAAAAAAATACAGAAGATATATCCCTGCGTTAATTAGCTATCAGGCGATATACATTAATCCTCACAAACTGTCGGCATTGCATGCCGTCTTACTGAAAAGTAGGACATAATCGTCGCTGAGAGTCTGATGTCCGATGCTGGTTCCGTGTGACGTAAATAAAACATACACAAAAAATAATTGAAATTTGAACGCGCCCCAAGACTGTGTTACGCGGCGATTATGGTTTCTGATCAGAAGTATCAGGGTTCGATCAACAGAACAATAAATAAAAAACAAAATACTTTTTCAAATGCTTCAGAAAGCCATATACAGGCAAATAACACTACACAGCTAAACACAACTCTTTGGCACATGTACTTCCACGTGTTATAACTGACTACATGAAATTGATACCATAAACCAAAATTACAGAATTGTCTTTAAGTTAACAGAAAATAAAATATGTTTGCACGTATACCTCACTGTAATCATATTGAAATCACCATACTGATAATTTAATTACGCATAACATTATGTTCTATCGTGAGTTATGCCTTACACACTAAATAATGATTCTATAAAAATACAATAATTATATTAAGATTAATAATTCTGGAGTTTGGTATTGCATAATAAACGTTTACAAAATCAAAACTATATAGCCACCCTGGAAATACCCCAACTAAAATAATCTGGAATTTGTACATCAATTCGTTTTCGTCTAGAACTAAAGTGAGTCATAATATATTATTAATAGGTAGAATACAGATTAAAATGTTTAAATGAGAAGGCACCACACATTGTATGACATTTTTAATGGCATAATGGAAAAAAAGTTCGCGGCACTTTAAATAGGACACCTGCGTTTCTATCAGTAGTCACTTACATAATCAAAAACCGATAAGCCCGATTTTCTTGAAACATTCATAGATTTACTTCTAATTGGGTATGTTTTAACTGGGTTGGGTTTATGAGGTTTAGAGCTACCGTTCATGTGTGGCATACCACCAACCTTTTCATAATCACTCTGCAGAACACCAGTCTGCCTATCATCTCTATATATTTTCAACGAATTATGTTTTGGTGACGAGACTCTGTAACGCTTTTGTGGTACAGTTTCAAGACTTTCACTTTGTTGATTCTTTGCTATCAGAATTGCTTCAATTCTTTCTTTCTCTTCTTTTTTTCTTTTCTTTTCCATCGCCTGGTTCAAGGCTTTTTCATGGATCATGTGAGCCATTTGTTCAATGCGTGTTACGTCAAGTTCATCAATACAATCAACTCTATTACTAATTAATTGATCTTGTCTTTGCATAGTCAATGATTGTTTCTGAACACCAGCTCGTCGTTTTCGCGTTCCACCCTCCTTCGTTCGCATGGGTCGATCTTCCAATAACTGTGTAGTCATAATCCGTTCATTAGTGGCCCTGCTTGTCATTTGTTCTTCAGTGCTATTTCGATTTTGTATGTTAATATCCGATGATGACTCATTAAGTGCAGTAGGCCGTTGTTGTGCATCAGCGGTTTTGTTGATACAAATTTCAATGTGCTTTTTCAGACTTTGTATGTAAGTAAATTTCCTTTGACAATGTGGGCACTTGTGATGTTGTATGAGTTGTTGACCATTCTTGTCGTATGTGGACATCATTTTCGTGAGGTCCCTTGTCCAATTAGCGATTCTCATTTTGTCTCTATTTGGACACATTTTATTGTGTTTTTGCAAGTTTTCCCAGTTAGTGAACCCTCTGCCACAACGTTGACATTCAGTGCTTCCACGGAAATCCACTGATTTAGTTGTCAAATGCTCTGCAACAGTCAAATCATTCTTTTCGATAGACTCTTGTATATTTAACTCGTTTCCAGAGGAGGCTCTTTCTTGTATTTGTGTTGATCTCATTTTATCATGTCTTGCAGCACACAGTAGAGCATGCGTCTCGCAGTCTTTTGTATCTGTGAATTCAACTCCACAATGAGTGCAAGAGTTAGTTTTGCTGTCATGCA